CATGGGTTTCGTAAGGTGATTGTCTCAGACCGTGGGAGCCAGTTTGTGTCCAGGTTCTGGCACGCCTTCTGCTCCCAGTTGGGTATCAAGCTCTCCTCTTCGGCCTACCACCCGCAGTCCAATGGGGCTGCGGAGCGTTCCAACCAGGCCCTGGAACAATTCCTTTGCTGCTATATCTCAGACCATCAAGACAATTGGGTCGATCTCCTGCCATGGGCAGAGTTTGCGAGGAACTCGGCTGTCAACTCCTCCTCTGGGATGTCTCCCTTCATGGCCAACTATGGGTTCCAACCCGCTGTATTGCCTGAGTTGTTCTCGCCACAGGACATTCCGGCTGTGGAGAACCATCTTGCTGCCCTGCGTTCTTCATGGGGGCAGATCCAGAGGTCCTTGAATGACTCAGCACAGCGCCAGAAGCTCCAGGCTGATCGCAGATGGTTGCCTGCTCCTTCATACCAGGTCGGAGATTGGGTGTGGTTGTCCACTCGTAATCTCAATCTCGGGTGCCCGCAACGAAACTGGCTCCCCGTTTTGTTGGTCCTTTCTGCATCCTCCGCAGGGTGAACCCGGTTGCCTATGCCCTTGCTCTTCCTCCTGGGATGCGTATCTCCAATGTCTTCCATGTATCCCTGTTGAAGCCTCTGGTCTGCAATCTCTTTACTGCCTCACTGCCTCGGCCCCATCCTATCCGGGTTGACAGTCATCAGGAGTATGAGGTGAGCCGCATCCTGGACTCTCGGTTGGTTCGCGGTCGGGTGCAGTTCCTGGTCCATTGGCGTGGTTATGGTCCCGAGGAGCGTTCCTAGGTTCCTTCCGTGGATGTTCATGCTCCTGCCCTCCTCTGCACTTTTCACGCCCGCTTTCCCCAGATGCTTTATGTTGAGCCGCGGAGGGGGAGGGGCCCTTGAGGAGGAGGTACTATCAAGGTCCCCACTTTTCCTCAGGGCTTGTGCTGCTCCATGTGCTGGCATCCATCTTAGGTCTGCAAAGCATTGTGGGATCCTTTATGCTTTCAGCCCTCTGTGGCTCCTCCCAGGAGGTGGCTGCTTATCACATTTAAGTCTGCTGTTTGTAGCTGTCCATTGCATTCCGTGTCCTGTCTGTTGCACAGCAGCAAGCTCCTGTTCAGTTAACTCATTGCTCTCCTGGATACCGACTCGGCTTTGGCAAAGACTCCTCCTGGCTTCTGACCCCGGCTCTGGCGACCATTCTTCCTGGCTTCTGACCCCGGCTCTGGCGACCATTCTTCCTGGCTTCTGACCCCGGCTCTGGCGACCATTCTTCCTGGCTTCTGACCCCGGCTTTGGCTCCAATTCCTGCTGGTTCTCGACTTGATTATCCTGGAAGACGACCTCGGCAGGAGAACTTCTGTCCTACCAAGTTATCCACTGTTGCTGTCAGACTTGCATAGACTCTTGCCTTGTTTCTGTGTAAATAAACCTACCTTTAATGGCACCTCCTTGTGTGCCTGGCTCCTCGCTCCCTGACACAAGTATGGAAAAATGTGTGTTGCCTGGCTGTGCGAAGCTTAGGGGGACCCAAAAACACAGCAGCCCTCAAGAGGGTAGCCCTACATTTATAACACTCTGGTGATGAAAGGGTTATTGTGACTTAAACAGCATACTGAAGCCTTTCACAACTTGGTTTCCCATGTGACAAAGAACAACCTAACTGAACATGTATTTCAAATACTCATTACTGTCATTACAATTGACATCCATGTGTAGTTAAAAGTCTAGTGAAGTCAAAAAACATATCTAGATGAAAACTGAATAGAACTATAGACAAAACTTTTTTTTTACATTTTGGATAGAACAAGGGGGTGGTTATAACCTTTGTTAGATTTATTTGTTGCCTGTCCCATAGTCAAACAGGAAGTAAGAGGAACTCCCTGTAAATAATGGATTTCCTTGGGGATCCCCAAGTCACCAGAACTAGTGTCCTTATTGGAAAAGCTCCACTCTATTACTTTTTGGCATTTTCATTTTGCTTTCACTTTCAAAAATAATGGCAAACAGAACAAATAGGGAGGGTGAATCTTCCTAACAGGGGGCAAAGGCAGCAATAGAAATTGTCAGGTCTTCTAATCACTTTACACTCTATCCAACAGTAAAACAAGTTTTGCTTTTAGTTATACTTTAAGATCTTTGTACAAGGTCCAAAATCTTCCCTTGCTTTCCCTTCAAGAGAGGATACAACCAGAAACAATGCCTCTGCCAAGTATGTCATCTTAAAATGAAAATGGACAGCATGATGATTATACTTGTAAGAGCAGACATCCTTAACACACAAAGAAATGATCCCATAAGAAGTGTTATTTTTTAATGCAGATTCTTTTAAACAAAGAATATTCTAAGTGGGAAAAAATGCTATAACACATGTACAAGACAAACTACAATAAAAAAAAGCAATGTAATGCACTGAAAAATGCATATAAACATGCATGTATTAACATGCACAAAATGCGTGGGTTGTGGGGTGAAGGCGCCCTTACAATCATTACTAAAAATCTAAAATTTTACATTTGTCAGTACAACAGAAAAGGAGGGACACTATATCTACTGGGACACCTCTTCCAGTGAAAACTATGTAAAGTGGGATTTCCCTTCACTTTGGAGAAGTTTTCACTTCCTGTGTGTGTAAGCAGAAACAGCTAAATAAAAACAAAAATAACAGAAGTTCTAATCTTTCCCCACACCACTTTACTGGCGTTCCACATTAAAACAAAAACTATACTCACCTCCATGCCAGTGATACAATGTTCATGAGCTCCCTGCAGACTGCTGACATCCATCCAGTCTCCTTCTGGGTTTCAATCTTCTGCTGTTTTGACTGGCTGGACCAAGGTGACATCACTCCCATGCATGCTGAAGACAGATGCTGAAAATGTACACTGAGCTGCTCGTATCTCAGTATACAGTGCAATCACAAAGGTAAGAATACTTTAAAATGCCTGCCTGTTCACGATTTTTTTTTTTAGTAAAGTTCCACTACCTGGGGCATGTCCAAAATGGTGCTGGGAGAGGATGCTTGATCGAGAGGCTCTGTGATCCGGTTCATTTATCCTGCTGTTAGATCGCAAACTATTTTCTCGTACTTACCCCAATAACCTGCGTATCCTGGGCCTGCTGGAGGGTGCGGACCACACGGTCTTTACTGAGAATCTTCTCAAGCAGCTGCTGCCTCGTGTGAAGTTCTAGCCCTACTTTTCTGTAAAACGGGCACACCGCATTCCTCTTTCCAGAGGCCCTTCAGGGACTCCGTCCCTGTACATTCATTAATAAGTTGCTGAACTTTTGGAACAGGGACCTGGTGCTCCATGAGGCCCGCTCTTAAGGAGATGTCCTTTATGAAAAATGTAAAGCTCCTAGTCTTCCAGGATTATTCAGTGGAAACTCAGAGACTTAGAAAATCTTCTGATCATGTCCGAGTTCATCTAAGCACCAAACGGCTGAAATACAGCATGTTTTTTTCAGCAAAGCTTTGGGTTCAACATGGTGACTATTTACACTTCTTCCCCAGAAAATGCGGCTTCCTAGTTTGATACGATTCACCGACCATGACATCGCGGGGATCTGTACGGGCCGTCCGAGGACTGCTATACCTGATTGGAATACTGCTCTCCATGCCTTGTTACTTATTCATGGATTGGTAATGTACTCTGCTCCACCCCCCGTCTTCTGCTGATTTAAGGGAGATCCAATTAGCATCTCCTACATTGGGGGGTTTCTTTCTGTCTGCTACACAGCCTGTGGGCATGATGTCTTCACTGTGTTGGAACAAATTTACCCTGGCCTGTTGCCCTTGGGTATCCCTTGGATTGTTTAATTCCTTAAGCTTAATTTTTAAGCTTTGTACCCCCAGTTTACTGGGTGAATTGCACCCTATTTATCTGAACCAGACAAGTCTGTTCACCGAGACTCCTTCTTTTATTTCTTTACAGGTCACTACTACAGGAAGAAAGGGAGAGACCCATATAGCTATGAGACTCACATCTTGCTAGTGGATTTTACTGGTGCCACGCCCCTTATTATGGAGACACTGAATAAAATAGAAAAATCCTAACCAGAATAAAGCTACTGGGGCTTTTTAGGCACCATACCAGCAAAACCACATACAAACTTTGTAAAAAGCCAAAACTTTATTAAACATCGTTTAAAAAACCATGATTGTAGTACAAAGATTGAGCGTCAAAAGCTATATTACTAAAATCACGTAACCATTATATATCGTGACTATAGAGAACATCAAGATTATTGTAACATATATGTTGACATATGAGAGAAGACACACATTGACATATGAGAGTAGAAACTATCCAAAATAGTTTGACAAAATATGGACAGCCTGGATTGATGCATATGGTTCAGATACATCTAAGGAGATGTAGCTGCTATGGTTCTTCCATCCCCCCTAAGTTGCCCTTCGGGTGCTGGTCTCCTCACCCCCCCCTCCTTTCTCCCCCCCCTTGGGATTCCTTTCCCTCTCTCCCCTTCCCTACCCCCCCCCACTCTCCTTCCCTTCTCCCTGCCCTCCCCCTCGATTTCCTTCTACCTCTCATTTTTATTTCTATTTCCGCCCTCCCTCCGGACATTGCCCATTGGTAGAGCACACTTTTCCACTATTTTACTCATTAGGTTTCTGGAGTGCTCTACTGGGGCAATTCTCTTGCTAGGAGGATACAGCTGGCCACTGAAAGGGCTGACTTAGATATGCTCTCTAAGCTTCTTTTCCCTTGTTTCCTGCTATGTAAACCTTATGGTATACTTGGTATTTCCAGTCTCTCTGAATTCAGTATTGTATGGGATGAATGTAAGACCTGATGTATCTTTATTTGACCCTTGTATATGGCCTACTTGAGATGATTCAATTGTACAATACCGACTGTGATGCATTTGTCAATCTGTGCATTATATAATAAACATTTTTTCTGTTAAAAAGTTCCACTACCAAATTAATTAGCCTAAGGTACTTTTTTATATTCCCTTAGGATTACTTACCAGCCATTTTAACTTGAGAGAAAACAACGTGCTAAAGAAAAAAATAGTCCATATCATGGGGCAGATAATTAAACCCAGCCAGAAGATTCGAGCTTCAACCTCCGTTGATGCTGAATTATTAGATGAAACCTGAAAAAAATGAAGTGTGTTGGTATTTACTTATACAAACGTATTTTTTATTATAATTTGATTTACTTAGGCTCAGTACCCCCTGCACTCAAATGATCAGATCCATAGTGACATCAAGCTGGCAACTCAGTATAGTCCATAAAATCCAATTCTTTATTGGCTACGTACTAAAACACACTGGTAACAAACTAGCTAGCTTGTTACCACTGTGTTTTAGTATGTAACCAATAAAGATTTGAATTTTATGGACTATACAGAGTTTCTAGATTGATGTTACTATGGATCGGATTTACCTAGGGCATTGTCGTGCAGATGTGGCTGCTTCTTTCACTGCAAGAGTTCAATGTTTGGAACTAGGGGTCACCTGTAAATTCCTTATCTTGGTATAGTACAGGACACAGAACTTGTATTCATAGAGCCTGGGTTATTTGCAGGCTATATTGATGATTGCATACCTGTAGACAACACTTTAAAAGTTTATAAATGTTATCAGTTTAAAGTTACACAGGAGGTCTGGCCCTAGAATTGTTGCTCTCACTCTGACGTTTGCAGTGATCTCACATGTGTGGTGCGATTGCTGTTTACATATGCATGTGCGACTGACGAGTATGATCACCTTTGCACGTACCTTTTTTTTACTATTTTTATTTTATACCTTTAATTTTTCTTTGGATCACTTTTTTGCTATCACAGGGGATGAACAACAGGTCCTCTTTATGGAGAGATCTGAGGTCTATTAGTCCCCAGGATCTCTCCTCTGGCCTCCAAAGCAGCAGATTGGTTGAGATTGGTTTGATCTGCTTCTGAGTCCAGGGAAGCTGATGCAGCCAGTCTCATCTGATGGGACAGGAGAGCCCAGTAATGGCAGCTGGGGGGGGGACCCCTTCCAGCGCCTGTATAGAATTACTAAAATAACTGTACCGGAATCATGGTTGTAGCCTCAACCATGACCCCGGTATAACCACCTCAATACCAGGATGTATATGTACGTACGACCGTGGTTAATAGCTCAAGCACAAATTTAACACACAAATGAATGACTCTCCCTCCTGCTTGCTCTTTTTAGATGTGAACACAGACTATGAATTAAAGACAGTCTGAAAGAAAAACTACTTCAGTTCTGTTCTCTCTTTTGAAAAACAATGATGCTCTGTTACACCACCACTCTATTTTCTTTTTATAAATGTGAAGTTAAAGTAGTATAAAAGTGTAGTACAGGCTTTATATGAATACAGGAGCTTTTACTGTTGACATCTTTTAAAAAATGCTAGTTCAATTGCTGTCTCTGGGTTAAGCGGTTTTAAAAAAACTTCAGCTGCATAAACAACAAAAATGATGGTGCAAACACCTGGTGCATTAACTATGACACTTTATTTAACCACTTCCCGTCCGGCCGCTGTATATAAACGGCCGGATGGTGGCAGTGCAGGGGCGGGTTGCAGTTCATTAACGGCGCCCGCCATTTTGGATTGTGTGCGCTCCCTGGGAACACCGATCGCTATACGGGACCTCTGTGTGTGAGGTCCCGATCATGTGATCACTAATTGGCCAATCAGTGATCACATGAATAGGTGTAAGCAAGATGTCACTTCTGACATCATTGCTTACTAAGTGTGAAATCTGTGAATGATCACAGAGATCACATGGTACAAGGCTATTCACAACAGCCTTGTACCTCTCAATGGCTGCAAGAATACAGCCAGAAAGAAGGAGAAATGATTTCTTTTACAGCCTTTATGGGTGTAAAAGCAATCCGTGTAAAAAAAAAAATCTTCATCACCCCCCACAAGTAGTACAGTGTCATTATGGTGACCCTGTACTGCTAGGGTGACAGTATGTAAAAAAAAAAATAAATAAATAAATAATATAAAAAAAATTTTTTAAATGTTTTTGAAAAATTATAATTTTTGGTTATAAACTAATTTGGGTTATTTTTTTTACTAAAAAGATAACAGAATAAATTTTGGGCAAGATTTATGAAGAAAGAATATTTATTTGCAAAATTTTATAAGAAAAACACTTTTTATTTTTAAATTTTTGGACTTTTTCATTTATATAGCAAAAAATATAAAAATCCCAGTGGTGAATAAATGCCACCAAAATAAAGTTTTATCTGTCTCAAAAAATGCTAAAAAATTCATATGGGTACAGTGTTGCATGACCGCGCAATTGTCATTCAAAGTGCGAGAGCACTGAAAGCTGAAAATTGTCCTGGACAGGAAGGGGGTAAGATGAAAGAATAAAATATACTCACAAACCCATAAAAAATGATAGTGTGTCACAAACCAGAACCAGATGCCAACCTATTAACCCTAGAGCTATCCCTGAGGCAAGAGACCTGACCACTGAAACACGTTAACTGTATACACCGTCCATCTGGACCTACACAGTTTTAAGGTTGGCATCTGGTTCTGAGTTTGTGACACGCTATCATTTTTATGGATTTGTGAGTATATTTTAATCTTTCACCTTAAATAAAGTATCATAGTTAATGTACCAGGTGTTTGCACCATCATTTTTTGTTGTTTATGCAGCTGGAAAACTCCCCGATCTGAAAAGACCTGCAACACTGCTATTATCCAGTCCGGGCTTCATAGTAACTAGAAACATTGGAGAGTTCTATGGCTGGTTTCTTCATGGTTTTTTTAGTGCCAAAGTGTTAAGTTTCCATTGTCTCCAGTTCGGTAGTTTTTAACACTGGAGAATTCATAAGTACCGCAGTTCAATCTTGCTATCTATTGGTCATTTGTAGTTACAGCAGGTTTCAGTTCAGCATTAAATGCAAGAGAGTTCAGAAAGGTACAAGAGAAGTCAAAGTCAATCTTCCTTTCCATATGTTCAGTGTTCCTTTTCCTAAAACTCAAGCCCGAGGCATCACTTTTTTTTTTTTTAACCAACAAAAAAAACTACAATAAAAGTCAAGTTTATTCTGCTTTACTGAAGACTTCAAACTGTTTATCTACCCAACTGTAAAAATGGCTTTATGCCACAAGAGCAGTATACTGACCATTTTAAAGTGCTAAATTTATATTGGATTAGTGTACAAAAGTACTCTTTCACCATGTTAATGAATAGTCTGAAAATACTAAAGAAAATACCTTTTTGGCTTCAAAAACCCAGTGACTTTTTCCATCTTCATCAATCTGGTTGCACCAGCGTAAGCCAACCAAAAGTCTGCCAGTAACATTCTGTTAGTAAGAAGCACTAAATGAGTTCAACATAAGCACACAAACACTTTCATATAATCCTTTTCATACTGACGAATGCTACAGCCAGAATTAAAGGCCACTACAAAGTAAATAAAGTGGATACACCAAACTGGTTTCATGGAGGTAAATGTCTTTTTAAGGCTCCATTCACACTTGTGAATGGGGCCACTTGCAATTACATACAGAAGACCCAGTAGGGGTTCCAGGCAATTAGCAGTGGGTAAAAGCCCTATTGAAAGTAATGGGAGGCTGACAGCTACCACAACATGCAGCCACAATTAGCAGTGGGAGTTGTCAGCCTCCCATTGTTTTCAATGGGGTGTCTGCCAGCAAGTAACTGCTGGGAACCTCTGCAGGGTTTCCCAAATGTAATGACCCCATTCGCAACTGTGAATTTAAAAATTTAAATTTTTCAACTGTGTATTCAGTTGTGTTCCACAAAGTTGGTGTTGGAGCTTTTTTAGATTTGGATAGAATGATAAGGCTGTTAAAACAAATGTCATGTTTCTATTGATGTCTGTGTCACCATTAGCTGAGTCTCAATCTCTCTAACCAATGTCACCAGGAATGAAAGCAAGGATAAATCCAACATTTTGCGTTGCCAACAGAACAGGGAAATTTGGGATATCTTCCAATGGGAACATCTGTTCCCATGATAACTCATTGATTAAAGGAAATCTTCCTAATGAGGCAAATATTGCAAAATAATCTGACAGCAGTTTTGACCCTACCCTATCCAAAATGAAAAAAAAAAAGGATTTTGTATTACCGTAAAATCCTATTCTTGGAGTACATTAAATGAAACATTGGAATTTGCTACTGCTTTCAGGAGAGGACACTGGCTAACAACAGCCTAGCATTACCCCTCTCACTCCCATCATGCATCAGTTTTGTAGCAAAGCAATAGTAGTAGTGGATGTTTACCAAACTCCAGATCACCAAGCACAACCCCTGCTGTAGGTGCTAGCCCTGCTCATGTGCTGCTTAGATGAGAACAAAGGACGTCTCATAGGCTCCACTCCAAACAATCCACTTTATTGAACCAAGATAAAACCAATACAGACAGTGGAAATACAGTGGGGGACTGGCAGGTAAATGTGGTTCACGCTAAAGACAGTGCTTATTCATTACCCAGTGGACCCATGTACAAAGTGTTGGTTTTAAGCACCAGCAACAGCTGTTCCTCTTAATCAAGTACCAGCAACAGCTGTTCCACCTAGTTTTATCTTGGTTCAAAAAAGTGGATTGTGTAAATGCAGCCGATCGGATGTCCTTTGTTCTCAATAGTAGTAGTGGACTATAAGAGCAGAGGGAAGATACCTTTGTCCCGTAATGTATTCCAAGAAAAAAAAATTACAGTACGTCAAAATTTCCTAAACCACACATTAAGGGACACAGGATGAAGTAACAGGTTAATAGAACAACAATCCAAGAAAAAGTGACATGAGGGTGGAGACAAAGCATTTAATACAGACAAGGGTGATTACAGTGGTAAGCTTTTATTCATTATGTGGCCATGAGAGGGAGCTCTGAGAAAGCTTCCTCTGTTGCACTGCCTGTCTGGGGCTATAAATTGGATATGATGGTGGCAGGCATCCTTTGGCCCTGATGCGGTCACATATGACAAAACATGTAGGGAGAAGCTCAAAACGTTCAGATGCCATCTTGGTTACTGGCCAGTAAAAAGGATTGTATGGAGCAGGATTTTTATTTGGTATACAGAGTGAGCGTTTTAACCCATTTTAAACAAAATTGGCTTTATTTTACTACACTATTGGAGGCATTTCTGTGTTTTATGTCCATATACTTGGAACACTGTCCCTAGAGAGTGGAAGAGATCTCATTTGGACAGCTGGGCTGATTGGCTTAACCAGCATGAGAGTATAAGGTGAAGAGCCGGCAACTCATTCTCCCAATAAAAATGCTTTATTGATAAAAGGGTGCAGTGTGCATGTTACAGCAACTTACTCAAACTTTAATGAAAGAAAGAAGGAGATATATATATAAAAAAAAAAACAACCCTGACATGTTAAAACTGTGTTAGTGATCATGTAATATTATAGAAAGGCATTCACAGACTGCAGAAAACAATTCACTAAAAACAACCGGATGCATATAGATGGATTAATAACAAGAAATGATAATAAAAGGATAACCAAATTGTTATTTAAGAAAAGGGTCTATATCCCATGTAAGATTTAGTCCTGAAGAAATTCTGGTCTGCAGAGTGAAAGTTCATTTAGCTTCTTTCTCTATTTAGATCCGATGTACATCTCCACATGCTGGTATTTTAACCCTCTCTATGCCATGAAATCTAAATGAACTCATGTTGGCAGAGTGAACATCTCTAAAATGCTTGGAAACATTAGAAATGTTCCTCACATTAGGACTGCCAGCATAATTGTAGTGTTCAGATATTCTGACATGTAGAGACTTTAAACTGTGAGATGCAAACTGTGCATGCCAACAAATACACTACAAAGGGTTGAATTAATAAAATCACATATAGAAAAACCCTTGCCAATAGTGCAGGATATTTTGTATATTTTTTGTATATTGTTATATTTTTTACTTTTTTCATATATTTCATTTTTGCTTTCTTATAGATGTCTTTTGTTGTTTTCCTCCCACCTGCAAGTAACATCCAAGACACCTGATGGATAATGAACTAATTAATTTAATTAATGGAGCTATGTGCAGTGGGAGGAGTTTTTACAGAGTTTGTCTTTGTGTGTAGCATTTAGACAATATTGTTCTGAGTTGTTTTATAGTTATGAATAAGGTAGTTTACAGAAACACATAAGCTGTTGTAACTTGTACACTGTACCCTTTATCAATAAAGTACTTTTATCATGAGAACAAGTTGCCAGCTCTTCACCTTATACTCTCATGCTGTTTAACCGCATCCCCGCTGCCCTATAGCAGATATACTGCTACAGGGTGGCAGGGGTGCCCAAAATCATATATATATATATATATATATGTGATTTTGCATTCCCGAGTAGGGGGCATGCGCAAGCCGCGCGCGCACCCTACCCACGCCGCCATTTGCGACCACAGCTGTCAATCACCGGGTCCTGGGTGGTAATTACCCGCCGGCGCCTTATGATTACAGAGCATCTCCGACAGGAAGGAGGATTGCTTTGTTTACTAACAGTCCTCCTCCCTGTCGGATCGGGCACACTGCTCTGAATAGCTGTACACAGCACATCCATCCACAGAAGTGTGCTTACAGTGACGCACCAACACACACTGCCTAAAAGGATCAATTCCTGTCTGTAGCCCAAAATATGTCCTCAAATATTTTAGCCATCTGGGCCCAGAAGAAATAAAAAAAACTCCAGACACCGAAGTATGCAAGCTAAATCTCTGAAGGTTTAATGCATACAAGCAGTTTTATACAAAATCAGAATGACCAATGAAATCATATACTTTTAGCAAAGAAGATAGTAACTACAAATGGCTGAGGACCACCATATAAGGTAGTTCCATTTCTAGAGAATAGAAACTAAAGTCAAGAAATGAGAGAGAAGTTATAAGTGAAAATTCAAAAACGAAATTAACTGTTCACACATCTAAAATGGATGCATTATACAAAATGGATGCCAGTTAAGACATATTTCTTTACACCGCCCCCTAGTAAAACACTCCCTGCACACAGTTAACCCTTTGATCGACCCTCAGTTCCCCCCAGTGTCAGAATGCCTGTCCCAGTCCTGCTATAAGTCGCTGATCGCTGCCATTACTAGTTGAGAAAAAAAATCCAATATATATACCGCCATTTGTATACACTATAACTTTCACGTAAACCAATGAATTTACACGTATTGGGATTTTTTTTTAGCAAAGATGTAGCAGAATACATTTTTGCCTAAATTTATGATGAAATTAGTTTTTTTTTATTTTTTTACTGGACATGTTAAATAGCAAAGTCAAAAATATTGCTTTTTTTTCTCAATAGCGTAAAAAATAAAAATCACACAGGCAATCAAATACCACCGAAAGAAAGCTCAATTCATGGGAAAAAAAGGACGTAAATTTAATTTGGGTGCAGCATTGCATGACCGCACAATTGTCAGTTAAAGTAACACAGCGCTGTAACGCAAAAAATGGCCTGGTCAGGAAGGGGGGCAAATCCTCAGGAGGGCAAGTGGTTAAAGTACCAGGAAGACACTATGAGATTTGAAGCATCGATGGCCTACCTCCAGGGGAAACAAACCTAGGTGTACATTTTCATTTGTGATTGACTTAACCCTTTCTTATCTATTATGCACAAATGACCACTCATAGCCTAAGGGTCAACATGCTTTGGTAAGCTGCAGTGTTTTAAGAGGAAGTGTACAGCACTAAATGCCATTTTCCTGGTTGAAATCAAATTTTTCTCTTTCATTCTGCACAAATACCATCTGGATACTTTTTTTCTCGTGAAATCTAATGGCACCTCTCTCTGGACTCTTTTCCTAGAAATTTGAGTGTTTGCAGTTATTTGGACTATAATATTTAACCTACTTTTGTCTTGGTGATTAGTGCACATTTGTTTTTCACATTATTTATTTGTATATTGTGAGGATAATACAATGTACTTATTTGTCACTAGATTGTATGGTCCATACTTTTTTGCACTGTTTATTTATCCGCATTAGGGCTAAACTTTTGTACACATTGATTAGTACTGGGTGTCAAAGTACAGTGTTAGTGATTTGGAGGCTGTTTATTCCAGGCACAAATTAATTTATACATATATTGCTCCTCCATATGTATAATGGAGAAGTAAGAGTAGCCATCCCACGACATGAAGTTTGTTAACGGTCATGTCACAAAAATAAATAAATGAAAAAAGCCTAAAAAATAAACTGAATGCATTCACCACACCTAAGGACTGGTAAGCTGCAAAATAAGATTTTTTTTTTAATGTAATGTAATGGACTAAATCCATTTAAGGACACAGGAATATATGAGTTCATGGTCATGTCGGTTAT